GGCGAGAGAGACCCGGACACAGCCGGGTACCGCATCTAGTAATCGTATAAAATATCCTTGCCAATAGAGTAGTTATTAGCGGCGTGAAGTCACTATACGAGGCGGGTGCCAGACACGTTGCTATAGTGCAACCAACCCAACGTGTCACAGTGCATGGCGTCACTCTCTTATATAAAAACAAGCGCACGTTGGGTCATTCAGTATAGGTGAGCGAGTGGTGGCCAGGACTCACAGCCTCGCCTCGCTTACTGGAATATGGACAGCAGACTTATACGAGGAATATTATATGGTTCAATCAAGTTCATGTAAGCTAAGACTCCCTATATATACCGAGGAGACTCTCAGTCATAGATATTAATAATAATATAAAAACTATAAGCTGAAGAGATAAAACAACAAATAAACAAGAACAGTGAGAAAATAGCTCCGGACATGAGGACTGTGAATCTATACAAAAAATCGCTACGACCTTGAAGAGTGACTCTTGGATCCCGCCTTTCGAGCATCGGTTGTTGGAGCATCGGAGCGCGCGCGCGTGCGCGCGCGCGCGCGTGCGCGCGCGTGTGTGTGTGTGCGCGCGCGCGCGTGTGTGTGTGCGCGCGTGCGCGTGTGTGTGTGCGCGCGTGCGCGTGTGTGTGTGCGCGCGTGCGCGTGTGTGTGTGCGCGCGTGCGCGTGTGTGTGTGCGCGCGTGCGCGTGTGTGTGTGCGCGCGTGCGCGTGTGTGTGTGCGCGCGTGCGCGTGTGTGTGTGCGCGCGTGCGCGTGTGTGTGTGCGCGCGTGCGCGTGTGTGTGTGCGCGCGTGCGCGTGTGTGTGTGCGCGCGTGCGCGTGTGTGTGTGCGCGCGTGCGCGTGTGTGTGTGCGCGCGTGCGCGTGTGTGTGTGCGCGCGTGCGCGTGTGTGTGTGCGCGCGTGCGCGTGTGTGTGTGCGCGCGTGCGCGTGTGTGTGTGCGCGCGTGCGCGTGTGTGTGTGCGCGCGTGCGCGTGTGTGTGTGCGCGCGTGCGCGTGTGTGTGTGCGCGCGTGCGCGTGTGTGTGTGCGCGCGTGCGCGTGTGTGTGTGCGCGCGTGCGCGTGTGTGTGTGCGCGCGTGCGCGTGTGTGTGTGCGCGCGTGCGCGTGTGCGTGTGCGCGCGTGCGCGTGTGCGTGTGCGCGCGTGCGCGTGTGCGTGTGTGTGTGTGTGTGTGTGTGTGTGTGTGTGTGTGTGTGTGTGTGTGTGTGTGTGTGTGTGTGTGTGTGTGTGTGTGTGTGTGTGTGTGTGTGTGTGTGTGTGTGTGTGTGTGTGTGTGTGTGTGTGTGTGTGTGTGTGTGTGTGTGTGTGTTGTGTGTGTGTGTGTGTGTGTGTGTGTGTGTGTGTGTGTGTGTGTGTGTGTGTGTGTGTGTGTGTGTGTGTGTGTGTGTGTGTGTGTGTGTGTGTGTGTGTGTGTGTGTGTGTGTGTGTGTGTGTGTGTGTGTGTGTGTGGTGTGTGTGTGTGTGTGTGTGTGTGTGTGTGTGTGTGTGTGTGTGTGTGTGTGTGTGTGTGTGTGTGTGTGTGTGTGTGTGTGTGTGTGTGTGTGTGTGTGTGTGTGTGTGTGTGTGTGTGTGTGTGTGTGTTGGTCAGCGAGAGGTGAGGGAAGACGAGGGTAGAGAGTGAGAAAAGGGGGGGGGGGTGAAGGTAGGAGTGATGGGACGGAATGGGACGGGTGCTGAGGAAGGGTAAGATCCCACCTTGACAACAGCAGTATACCCACTAGCAGTAGTGTCTTCATTCCTGTACCCCCTATACTCCCACACTCTCTCACCCACACACCCACCTTTACTCCCAACTCACTCATCTCTCCAGCCCATCTCATACTAAAACGCCCCCCATTCCACCCAGCCCCCCCTCCACCCCATGTATATCTTCTCCCCCCCCCCAAATCACATTTATCCATTCTCCAGCCCTAACATGTGAAAAAAACCTTACAACCACTCGCAGCTCACTGCAAATAGAAAGCAAGCTTAGCTAAGCTATCAAACACTTCATGTCAGCAAGGCGGACATATGTTACAATAACTCATTATATTTCACATATCTAAACTTTTCCCTCATCAACACATGTGGAAATCTGACATTAGAACGGTATTTAAACACCTTCTATACAATGTTACGAATGATACTGTTTACTTCGGGCTGCCCTCACAAGACTGAGCCTAGACAGTCATCGTGGCGAGGAACAGTAGATTTGTAAACAATAAAGCAAGTTAACAGTTATAATAAAATGTATATATACTGTTAGTATTAGCACCCTCGGGTGTTGACATTTACTCACTGAAATAAGATATCCTCTTACACACTGGGAATGATCACATCACGCCAGTCACAGTACAACCACAACGACATACATTTTCAAGAGGAAACTAGATTTATTCCTCCAAGGAGTGCCGGACCAACCGGGCTGTGGTGGCCCTGCGGGCCGCTCCAAGCACCAGCCTGGTGGACCAAACTCTCACAAGTCAAGCCTGGCCTCGGGCCGGGCTTGGGGAGTAGAACTCCCAGAACCCCATCAACCAGGTATACATCACTACACAAACAGAACAGACGAGACACCTAAACCAGGTAAAGAGGAACTAACCTGTTAGAAAAATAAGAGTTGAAGAGTGCAGAGTCCTTCAGTGTCACAAATCAACTCTTGCAGACTATGCCATTGGATACCGTGGAAGGTGGCGAGGTTCCCAAGTCCAGAATCATTAAGGTCTCTTCCCAACTACAGCCCGACGGTCGAGGGGCCCCTCTGTGAGTAGCAAGATTTCCAGCTGGTTCATAACACTGAGACTGACTACTTATCCGGCGTATGTTAAATCTCCTTCAGTCTTAAATTATGGGCACAAAGCCTACCCACATTCCGATAATAACTTCCCCGAATTACGACACCACCAGCACCAGGAACAAGAACAAAATACCTAAATGGCCTAAACCTAGATCTGAGAGCGGCGTTTCCCAAACTAGCTGGCTGAACCAGACTCGACCTGTCTTGAGGCTCGTCTAGAAAGTGTTTGAACCCTAAAACCCATTCATCAATTTTAACGAACTGTGCATTCACATTATATTTTTTTATTAAATATAGGGTAACATTATTTCTTACTGAATATGTGCTGAATTGTTGGGCTAATCTGAAGTTTGGTTAGGCTCTGCTACAATACGTGAGTGAAGCATTTATCGAGGTGGGATTCGAGAAGAGGATGTGAACGAAGCACTGCTCGAGAAAAATACAAACATCAGCTGTGCGTTGTTATTTTTGTTATTGTTTTAGATTCAGTTAATTTCTTTGTGATTTACACACACACACACACATATATATATATATATATATATATATATATATATATATATATATATATATATATATATATATATATATATATATATATATATATATATATATATATATATATATATATATATATATATATATATATATATATTATATATATATGTCGTACCTAATAGCCAGAACGCACTTCTCAGCCTACTATTCAAGGCCCGATTTGCCTAATAAGCCAAGTTTTCATGAATTAATGTTTTTTCGTCTACCTAACCTACCTAACCTAACCTAACCTAGCTTTTTTGGCTACCTAACCTAACCTTACATATAAATATAGGTTAGGTTAGTTAGGTAGGGTTGGTTAGGTTCGGTCATATATCTACGTTAATTTTAACTCCAATAAAAAAAAATTGTCCTCATACATAGAGAAAAGGGTTGCTTTATCATTTCATAAGAAAAAAATTATAGTAAATATATTAATTCAGGAAAACTTGGCTTATTAGGCAAATCGGGCCTTGAATAGTAGGCTGAGAAGTGAGTTCTGGCTACTAGGTACGACATATATATATATATATATATATATATATATATATATATATATATATATATATATATATATATATATATATATATATTCTCTTTAAACTGAGAAAAAGTAGGACAAGAGGATATAGATATATATAAGGTGGAAGCGTAAATGAGCTTAAAATGTAAGTAAATACTTCAAATACTTCATTAAGGACTTCAACAAGAAAACTCTCAATAAAGTCATGGAAGTCACCTCCATCCACAACTTTAAGGCCAAATTCGATAAAAAATTCGGACGTCAGGTAAGTTAACATATGACACAAGAGGGATATAATATACAAGGCAATATAGCAGGTGGGCCTTAGTTATAGTAGTTGGTTCTCATTTACCCATAATATAGTCGCTCTTAGTTAATTACTGGTAGATAAGCTTGACTTTTATCACCAGAATCAAACTTTCTTGGAACGTAACCGACAACAGTTATCAAATTCTTGGGTATCTCTTTACTGATATGGGAGAATAGAGGCCACTAGGTCAACTTTTTGACCTTCCACATGATGCAACCCACAACAGTTGCTTAAGTCGCAGGTACACGTTTACAGCTAGATGGCATATATAGACATAGATGCATCAGATGAAAGGAAACGTGTCGAACCCTGGATGGTTGTGACCCAATGTCGCAGACTACTGCGCTACCGTACTCAACTTGGTGGTATGTGCAATTTGCCTAAAGGACGACACAGGTGCAGCTACAGGACTGGCTCAAACACCGTCTATGCCACATGCTGATGATAAATAAATAAATAAATAAATATAACTTTTTCAGTGTCAGAGTAGTTAATAATAAAGGGAATACATTAGGAAGAGAAGTGGTGGAGGATGACTCCATACACAGTTCAAATGTAGATATGACAAAGCTCAGGAACCTGTACACCAGTAGATTGACAGTTAAGAGGCGGGACCAAAGAGCCGAAGCTCAACCCCTCCTCCCACAAGCACAACTAGGTGAGTACAGGATCGGCAGATTAATTAATTGTTCCTATCTACCAAAATATATTTTGTAAATGTTTATTTTCTCAATTGACTTAGTTGCATATAGAAATAGTACGTGGACATAATAAAATAAAGATTTTATTATTATTTAAATAATTAGTATTTGCAAGTTTTGTTTATTTTGTTAAACTGTAATGAAGTGATGTGGTGTGGTGGATGTGAAGGATGCGGCCGCGTGTTCACCCATCAGGAGAGTGTAAACAACAGCTCCCAGAGACTCTCCTCACCTCCTCCAATATGGTGAGATTTTAATAGTTTATTGGCTGATTTATGTGTGTGTGTAGTGTGCTTAAAGTAGTCTGCCAAAATTAGCTATAATAAATCTTTTCAATCATGGTTAAAATACTAAGTGCATGGTTTCTCTTATTATTTAGGAATTGGTAGAATTGAAACAATAATTCATTGTGTTAGGGGACAGGCAGTCAATGTATATATGCATATGTATTTTTGGGTATATATATTTTTGGATGTAGATTTATTAATAAAGTTTTAAGATTATATTTAAAAAGAAACGTGCCATACTATGTTTTATTTCAGTGGAATGAGACTCATTTGCTAAGTAAAGTTTTATTTGGAAAAAATGGAAATGCAGTATTTTCTTGTTATGTGTTGCTTTTATTCGGTTTGATTTCCCATTGCATAACTTGAGTAGGGTTCTGAAAGGAAATCAAATCTAGTTATTGCTTACCTAACCTAAAATATTTCCAACTTTCTCCTAGCTGCTCATGATTTTCGGAATAATTAGGTATCCAAGCCTAGAGACCGCCTCATTCAAAAAGACATACAGCACCTGCTTGGGAAAACGCTCAACACAGATACAAAAATCATCCCAGAACTAATTCAACTCTCATACCAGAAATGGTTGAGAGCCACAGGGCTAACAATATTGCAAACCAGACATGACAGGACAGATCTCATCAAGATCTTTAAAATACTGAACAAGTTCGAGGATATTAATCCAAACCACTTTTTGAAAATGGCAAACGTAACACACACAAGGGACAGCTCAACAAGCTACAATGTAGGACAGAAAACAAGATCTTGTAAACTTATAAACCCATGAAACGGCCTACCCAATGAAGCTGTAAATGTTAAGACATTGCTACAGTTCAAAATCCAGCTGGAACAAATCCTTGGGGGTAGTAGGGGGACCTTTTACAAGCTGCTGGTTTCCTGTCTCCATTGACATCACTGAAGAGATAGGTAAATTCAGGTAAGGTATGGTTAGAATAAAAATAGTTGGAATGATGGCAGTACATTTGTGGACTTTCTAGACATGTTAGGTAAGGCTGGGGTAAAATACTTTTGGTTAGGTAAAGGCTACCTTTTTTTAGTACAGTATTTAGTAAAATATACTCCTTTGCCCAAAACACTGTGGGTATTACTGGCTTTAGGCATAGCTCTATCTCTATCTAGAAATCCAACCTTCTGTTTATACAGTAACTCATTTTGTATGTATGTCCCGGTAGTACAGCTGAGTTCGTTCTCGATGCACAGTCGAGAATTCCGGGTTCAAATCCTGGGTGGGACAGAAATGGTTAGGCACATATCCTTTCACCTAATAGCAAGTAGGTACTCAGGGGTTAGTCATCTTGTTGTGGGGTTGCATCCTGGGTGGGGTCAGTAATTCGACCCTGGGGCGGAAGGGGGGAGGACCTCGATAAAAAGCCTAATTTGTATAAATACACTCTGGCTTCCAGTCCCCCGACTCGGTGATTTATATTATTGTATGTACGTTTACCTGAATAACAATTATTATTATTGTTATAATTATTATTATTATACTGTATATGAGTATAGTATATAGGCTTATATATACAGTTACTTTACCAACTATGTAACCACAGTAACTTAACCAATGTATTGTCTAATGTATGAATAAAATATGACTAAAGTATATAGGCCTATACCTCATTACTTAGGTTTTTTGAATGGTTCTCAACATTTATAAATGTACTTTTGTGTACTGTAGTACTGTACGTACTTGTCTTTTTCAGCCAAAATCTAAGAAAACTCGGAAGTTTGCTATCATGAAGAGAATGATCAGCTTAAATGACCCAAGACTGTATGTATCACATTCTGTATTTTTTTGTTGCTAAAGTTGACAGACATAAGTACAGTAGTCATAAAACTTTGACAGAAATCTTTTGAGTTTAATGTTTACTGATGATACTGCAATGTGGAAATCCTTAATACTGTAAATTCTTTATTGAAGGGTTTATTATACAGTATTTTCATATCTTTATCAAGATTTATGTGATGGTTTTGAACAAGTTAAGTAATTATTTATCAGTAAAGTGCAATTTGACATGGCATCTTAATTAAAGGGAATGCAGTGGTTTGCAGCTTTATCTTTGTTCTGTAAATGCCATATATTTACTTATGTCATGTTTAGTGTTGCTGTCAAGTAATTTTTCATTTGTTCAATTGAGAAAATGATGTTTAATATTCTCTGAATTGTTTTTTTCTTTTACTCAATATAAATCAAGATTGCAAGATAATATTTTAACAATTTGTTGATTTCTTCTTAAATAAAAAATGTACAGGTTCTTTTCTTTTCAGGAAAGAGGAGGACCGAAGAACCAAAAAGCAAAAAATCCCTGATCCTCACGAACATAAGATCAATGAAGCGTAAGATACTCTATTTTTCGGATAATGTTATTGCCAGTTTTATGTTATGCCAATACCATTCTTAAGAATTTGCTATACACTAATGTGTTTGTTTGTAGATCATTTGTGGATTATTTTGTGAGCTGTGGATTAGATTATGGCAGTGAAGAAGCTGGTAGAAAAGGATGTGAGCCATATTGTACTAGGTTTGTTTGGCCATAGCAACATTTAGGGAGGTGATAGAAATATTCTTTAGTGTGGTGAAGAGATTTTATGAAGGAAGTAGAGCATGTGAGTGTTTAGAGTGAATGGTTTGATAAAAATGTAGGATTCTGTCATGGTTGCATGTTGGTTCTGTGGTTGTTCAATGTGCATATGGGTAATCTTTAGAAAAGTCAAAGCTAAAGTAAAAGAGAAGGCTCTACGGTTCGAGTATGATGGGAATAAATGCCATTTACCAAATATAATGTATGCATCATGAGACCTATCCAATATGTAATCCTCCACCTACATGTTCCATTTCCATCACTCTAGCCCCTTTTATTTAACTCTTGAATATCTTTCTTACAAATCAAACTCTAGTCATCCTTCCAGATATCCAAGCCACTTTAGAATATTTATTTTCGCTCACTACTTCCCTACACCCCACATCTTCCATATGCTCCTCTTTCTTATTCGTCACCCATAGATAGATTCATGTACTATACAGGGGGAATGACAGTCTGGCACTCCCACCACAAGTATCTTATCAAAGTTCAAAGCAGGGATACAAAGGTGTTAAAGAGGCATTTGAGAAAGGGCTGAATGCAGTACAAAATAACCCAAAAAAATGTATTTGAATATGAATAAAAGACCTTCCAAACCCTCACTTGGCTTCACATCTGACCACTAAATGAGGACACTTGGCAAAGGAAACAAGATAGAAAGCACCCGATGGTAAAGTACTCGATACCAAACCCCCATGCAGCTTTCCTAAATCTGAAGCTACAGTTCATAGGTCAAGGCACCTAAAGAAGTAAGATCATCTTCAAAATAATGAGTAGTCTGTGAGAAAACACCAACAAACGACAACTGAGACTGCCAGCAGTGAAATACCAGTGTACAAGTCCTGACCTTAGCACTGTGTTCATAAACGGCCTTCCAAGATAAAGGCTTGAACATGGTGGTCAACAAAAAGTGATTCTTCCTTTGAATGAAAATCTTGCTTAATTGAACATTAAGCGAGACTTTCATGCTCTTACTGTGGGGAAAAAGTCAGTATATCGGTAACTCATAGCAATTAAACTTGAAATTAATTAATTAATTAAAAATATAGATTAAAATAAATTCAGACTAAAAAATTTCAAAATTCAAATTTTAAATCTTCATTTACTGCAAACTAATATTAATTAAAACATTGAACTCGAAGGTAAATAAGAAAATGTTACTGGCAAAGACAAACATAAAACATCATGTAACTCAAGACAAAGCAATCATGAAAATTAATAAGTCTATTCATAGATTGGATATTTAAATTTGAGAGCAAGCAAATGATTCTATTGAGGAAGGTTCTTTTTCATATTGACTCAAAACTCTATGTACATGAATAAAAAAAATTAAATTCTTCTATGCAATAGGATGTATTAAAATTGTTTTGCTTGTAGTCCACAGTTTTCTTCAGCTCTTTTCTTTGAGTACAACACGCAATTGGGTCCACCTTACCACATACTTATCGATACCAACTTCATCAATTTTGCTATCAAGAACAAAGTCGATATTGTCAAAGTAAGTACAGTGCTGTATTTGTGGTGTTTTGTAAAAGCTAGTATAATATTTTAATTTACAATATAATGTTCAATCACTGTCATAAATCATTATAGCAATTAAACCCATAGCTTGAGTTTTATTTACTGTTTTATATTCTTTACTAACCTGTTGTCCGAGCTGTTGCATTTGGTTGCCCTTTCAGATAAAATTCTGGTGTTGATAAACCAGAATTGTGAACAGTCATAATGTCATTCTGGCCTGGTGGCACAGGGAGAGTTTAAATATCTACTACAGGCTCTTACTAGGTATTTGAGGGAGGTCACTGGATCCAGACAGAATTACAAATAGTGCAGTTTTCTGGGAACTGGTCTGATTTCCATTTAATCCTCCTTGGTGTCTGATTCAGGTAACTTTTCTCCCAATGCAGTTTAAAATTTAGTTCTTATTTTCCACTGCAGATGTAGAGGAACCAACTTCCAGAACGTTTTCTCAGTTAATGCTTCATGCATCTCCAGCACTAGAAGATTTGTAACTTTTTACTTAGGGAACAGAATGTTGGTAGTGTAATGCTCAAAAGAGGAGTGCTTTGCTTTTTCCCTCTATAGTGTTGAAAACTAACCATAGTCTCTTCTGGCATCTCCGGGTATTTAGTTTTTTCTTGGCCCACATTCAGGTGTATTGAATGTGTTGGTGGATGGTTTCTTCGCTTTTGTCCCATTTGGACGGAGGCCTCGTACAAGAGACTTTGCAGCCCATTCAGCCTTCCTCAGGTGAACCTTTTTGCACCTTAAATGACCTTGGAGTGGATACTTGAAAATCCCCGTTGACACTGGGGCCATAATATTGCCCTGCCTGACTACACAATTTCAATCTATTGACAACAACTTTTACCTTACAATACATTCAAATGTGATAGATTGGGAAGGTAGTTTTTTGCATTTACCTAGAGCTAGAATTTTATTTGGCTAAAGTTCCAGGTTATGCTAATACAATACCATATATTGACTTCTCTTTATATAACATGATGATTGTCCATAATGGACTGAAACTTTCCTAATAAACCTTTCTAAAGGTCACTTTCCTTTATTTTCAGATGGATGAGTTGGGTGTCTTGCTAATACAATATTAAAATTAATATAACTTGTAATCTTCAGGGAATGATGGACTGTCTTTATGCCAAGTGTATTCCTTGTGTTACTGAATGTGTTAGAGGAGAATTGGAACGCATGGGAGAAAAGTATCGCTTGGCATTAAAAGTTATCAAAGACCCACGCTTTGAGAACTTGCCTTGTCTTCACAAAGGAATATATGCTGATGACTGTCTTGTTCAGCGTGTAACACAGGTGAGGCTCTAATGTACACACAATCTTTTATGCAGGCAACCATTTTAACTCATAAGTCTTAAAAAAAGTGTATATTTCGAATACTTTAGAATTGGGGTGAAGTGACAGATAGTACATAATATTGCATGCCATGTATCTATAGCACAATAATTCGTATTGTTCTAACTGAAATGCTGAAAAGTTAATGTACAGTAGCTTATCGGGGTTCTAGAAAAAGATAGCATTCAGCACAGTAAATTAAGTTTTACATTCTTAAATCTATTATACTGTATATGGATTTTATATTGATAATGTTAATATTATTATATATTGATAATACTAGGTACAGTATTATCAATATAAATATTATGTGACTAGCCTTTCTTTCCTTAGCAATAACTCATGTTTCCCAACCCATGTACTGAAAATGCAAGATTTTTAATTTGAATTCGGTAATCTAAAAGTGTTTTCCATTTTGTTTCTTCATGCAGCATAAATGTTATATTGTGGCAACTTGTGATAAAGACCTTAAGAGAAGAATCCGCAAGATTCCTGGTGTTCCTATCATGAGTGTCGGCCAACACAAGTAAGTCGAGTCACAGTACATACCACCCACCAGAAATTGTCAGTGTCTTAAGCTTTGTGAGTTGCATGCCTTCAACTAGAGCATTAATGAAGATTATCAACTTATTTTTTGAAGGTTACAGTAGTTGCCACACTGTACTAGTATATATAAGTCTTGTGTTCTCATACTTGTCTTTTATATGTAAGACACTTGCAGGTACATTTCTTCACTTTTTGAGGCTTGTATCTGATGTTAATAAATTAGGGAACAAGGATTAGTAATGTCTCTTAATACCAAAGTAAATGATTAAGAAAGAGCATATCTCTTCTCAGTTGTGATGGAGGGTGATCCAGCAAGTGCTTACTAATGCAGCAGCGCAGCTCTATCACTGTTAAAAGTTGGATTTAATGCTGTTAATTAACCCTTAGGCTATAATTGTTGCTCAGATGCCTAATATAGTGAATAGATCCATACTCTGGCTAGCATGCAACATAGTCTTCTTGGGTTGGTACCTTCTTTTTATAATAGTTATATTGTTATATAAGTAAGTTATATTGCAATTTATTTTGCAGGTTTGTCATTGAAAGAATGCCAGATGCACCTCAAATGTAGCGACCACCAGAGGCTCTACATTGTGTGTGTGGGGCTAAAGTTCTTCACTAGTCACTGAAGAATTGGGTTATTCTAGCCGAGATGTTGGACACAATACATACAAACTGTGTTTGCTGGGTACAACACCTTCCCCATCTGCCCGAGACAAGGTGGTCTGGTGCTGCTGCCGAAGGAAATACATTCCAAAGATCTCTCTCTTGATTTGAAGATGTGTGACCTTCATCTTATTATGGCAGAGATCTTGGATCCAGTAACATTGACAGTCAATTAATAATTTATGTAATTATAGCCTGGACTCTTTAAACCTACCCATCAGTAGTACGGTAATTACATACAGTACTGATGTTGATATCCAGCTGACTCAATTTTATACTCTAATGTGACAAAGGTTCTATATATGATATATATGTACTATTAGAAATTTATTCTGTATATCTATGTATTGAAGTTTGTTTACCTTTGCAACAGTAGTGTATATACAATTTAAAGCATTTTTACAGTATATAGATTTCATTACATAATGAATATAATTTGTTTTAATTTGCCCAAAACATTGCTGGTCATCAAAATATATCGGATTTTGAAGCAATAGTCCTGCCATAAGGTGACTTCTACTCAAGCTGTTGAAATGTATTAAATAGAAATAGATGTTGTTGACCATTATATTTACATTAGTCATTGTTTACACTAATGATCTAGTATGTCTGAAGCAATCATGTCAGAACAGTGTTTTAGTGGTAAAAACTGGTCATCAGAGGCTGATGTAGAAACTGGACGTTTGTAAAATCCAGTGCTGGATTAAGTTCTACTGCAGAGTCCCTAATGTTCCAGCATATTCTTTTAAAAATTACTTCACACATATTGATAATGAACTATCTTTCAAAGGTTCATGGTCTATAAATCTAAATCATCTTCATTGACGATTTTAAGCTGGAAGAATTTTTAGCATCACACGAACTTGCCCTTCTAACCTATATACTGTATTTCATGTATAAGAAAGGACAGTAGGTGTCTCGCTGGCTCCTGGCTGGGGGCTTTTACTGTATTGGTAATATAATTTTAGGGGCAGACCTATATATTTTCTTTGCTGAATTAGAATTGGTTAAGAATTTGTAGTGCAAATGAAAGCCTTTTTAATGGTTTGGAGTTATTGTCTACATGATCACAATGACAATAATGCTAGAAATAATAATTATATATTTTATTGTATAACATTATACATAAGGTAGTACAGTATAAACACGATAGTTAATGCCTATAACATTTTCCTAAAATTTACAAGAATTGTAACTTTCATTTTTAGCCAACTTTGCAAAAACTCCTGACCTGCTGCACCATCTGGAAATAAGACAGCCACACAATAAATGGCATGTGTACCATTTATGAGCCATGAACTTGGCTCATACTTTTTAAGTTTCAGTAACAAGTCATCAAAGTCATTTAGACTGCAGCATCTATGTTTTAAGCAGGTCTTGTAATTTAATAATTGAACTCTGGTAATGCCTGTACAATACTGTATATTCAAAGTGGTGTCTACAGCAGATTAACATGCTGTATTTAATTTAACAAAATTGTAAAAGGTGGCTGGGTGAAATGAGTGTACATAAACTTTCCACCATAAAAACTTTTCCCCATAAAAGTAAAGAAATAAGTAAACGATACATGTATGCTTGTCCAGCTCCATGTAGCTGGAGACAAACTAAATATGAAAAGAGGCATGAAAGTAGATTTATTCTGAACAATCAAACATGGTTTCTTCAATATAATATTTTACTATGAAGCATTCCAAGATGTTTGAATCATGGCTAGTGTTGGTTCCAAAAAAAAAAAAAATTATTATTAATTCAGCAGAAGAGTGAATGGTATATACCAGGAGGAGAGCAAGAGGCAGCATTACTACCAGAGGAGACAGCGGTCGTCACCACGGTTCATGGCAGAACCTGCTGGACAGTTCCACACATTGCTGAACTCTTCATCATTGGAGAGTGGACCTAGGATACGGAATCTGCCCGGGGAGTGAGGGTCTGTAGCCAGCTGAGTCAGCACCACCTGGGCTGTCTTGTGCTCACACCACACCTGGAGTATGTTTATAATTTAGTACTGCAAAAGTTACTCTAGCCTCAGGATGTGCCATGATATTAACATTTGCTCTTCAAGTGTGAAATGTCTATCTACTTGTCTGTCCATCGATTAGTTCTCATCATCATGCCTAAGTTATATGTTTAGAAAAAGATTGGGTATAAACAAGATGGATTACTCTAATAGCATAGAAGAATTGAATTTCCACAATTATAAAGTGCCCGAGTGTCCCAGAGGAAACAATGGCTTCCAACTGAAAGGTATGTACAACTGAAATAATCTTCATTACATGAACATAATTTAGGAACAGGAATATGCATTTTGCAATCTTACAAACTATGATACTGTACCCTAATAATGATAACAAATAATCATTACTCACATTAGCAAAGCCAAGGTAGAAGAGATGGTCTGGGGAGAATTCATCAAGGCCTGGAAGCCTAGCTTCCTCCCCATAGCGCTCCACATAGAGCTGGTAGGCTCTATAGGCTTCCCGGATCCCACCATTGTCTGCTATGTTCTCCCCTTCTGTCTGGTACCCATTTATCTGGGTTACAATAGGCAAATAATTGTCTGGGTTAGAATAGGCAAATGATTGTAACATGTTTATTAGATACTACTTAATGAGATATTAATTTTATCTGAAGTTGTCACCAGCATACACTCTGCCCGTCTCCAACAATGGAAACCAGTCTGCTTGAATTACTGAGGTCCCACTAGCCTATGACTGACGTTTCTGAGGATGCAACCCACAACAGTTTTTCTAACTTCCAGGTACAGTACTTATTTACTGCTAGGTGAACAGAGGCAACACATGTAAGAAAACCGATATACCTCTTGCCCTGCCTGAAAATTGAACCTGGGACCATTTAGTTGAGAATTGGCAGTACTAACCATACAGTATTTGCACACGTACACACACACTCAAATAAAAGAAGAAGAATGTTACCGATATATTTAGTCCAACTTCGGACAACTCGGGAGGAATGTAGGCATTATACTGATCGACATAGCACTGTGCTCGTTCATTATAGGCCTGGATGGTGGCATTGCTCCACCACTCCTTCAGGTTTCCATACTTGTCAAACAGGCGACCTGAACAAGTAAAACCACTTACACTAATTTATCATCTAAAAGAATATTCAGGCTTCTTTACATAAAATATTTAGTATGTTTCGAGATTCAGAAGAAATGCATGTTAAACCCACTCACTGAAGATAAATGGTATTGAAACGTTTATTATCCAGGAAAATAATTGATATAACAGTATAAAGAAAAGTTTAAGCGTTGTTCAAGGAAAACATTATGTGGCTTACCTGAGTTGTCAAAGCCATGGGTCATTTCGTGGCCAATAACCATTCCAATGCCTCCATAGTTGAGGGCAGCAAGGGAATTATGAGCGTAGAATGGCGATTGCAGAATGCCGGCCAGAATAGCTGGAAAGGTAATATTATCATAGCAAGATGGGCAGGCGAGCCAAACATTGCTTTATGCAAATTTATAGTCAGTAAAAAGAGACAAGATGAGAGACTTGCACATGGAACTAGCTAATGATTACTATTTTACCAACTAATAGTGCTAAAAGCAAAAGCTGCCAATGCAAATTATTACACACTGATGGTGTTTTCCTGAGGGTTGTAAAAAGCGTTGACCACTGTTGGTGGGAAGAGGAACCTGGCGAGGAAGAAACAAGGCATCAGGAATGTCATTAAATCTTCTAATGTGCAACGTTTTCTTCTGTTAGGTATTATGTGACATGAAAAATTATGGTTTCCAAATTATAATGCAGATTGTGTGCCCGACTTTCATATATTATTTACTTACGAATGTTCAGGAGTTTCTCGTAGTGATGCCAGGGAATGGAAATCATACCATGCTCCAATGTTTATCAAATTCTGCACCTGCTTATCGTTTACGATCACCAGCTGAAGATGGGAACCATAAAAAGTAAGAGACTTGAGTAAACCAGCAATTACTGCACAAGATGAAATTTCCCAGTCCCCATCTACTTGTATTACCTTAATCCTTGTCACTCCATCTCATTCTATTCCTTCATCTCCTATGCCTTTACCTTTGTCTCCTTGACCTTTTACTCTTTCCTGCCTCCTCCTACTCCACCTTTTGTTCTTTCTGAACTTCCACTGCTTTTCACTTACCTACCACCATCATTCATCCCCCTTTATTCTCTTAACATTTATTTTCACCTTCCTCTCCTGTATATTCTTTCCTCTCCTTTCAGTACCCTCACTCATCCCCACCTTCCTTTTTTTTCTCTATCTCCTCTTCCTCCTCACATCATTCTTTGTGTTCTCCAACATCTTCCACTTCTTCAGTCTGCTAGATAGTTTAACAGGGACTGCAATAATCAGAGTATCCAAGAAGAGGGGATGTTGGCAAGACAAAAAGAATACAGACTTTCCCATGAGTACTGATCCTTTTATATTCAAGTGTATCCTTGTTGACTCCCTCTTGTAAATCCCCCCCATTGATCTATATTCAGGCTGACAGTATAGTGAACAGGTGTACTATTTTCATCATGCATAATACAGAACAATATTATTTGCAGTCAGTACTGACATCCTCATATGCCAGAGTGAGCTGAGCATCATCCATGATCCAGTCAGGGTAGGCGACAAAGGGATCAATTGCTTCCAGCTTCTCCTTAGCCACTACCAAATCCTCTGACATCATCCAGGTGTTTTCGTCCAGGAGAGAGAGGTACGCTGCTCGGATGTCCTCCACCATCTCTGTTGTCTGAGGAGGAATAGGAGGCAGGCAATAACAAATGCTCACACGTGTTGGCAGACAGACCTTCACATCAATCACTATAAACACTACCTTACCTCTGGCTTCACTGTGCTGGCCATGAACTGGTCGACATATTCTCTGGAAAGTGCAAAGCCCAAGTTGTAATTGGTTTGGTCCATGCAGTGCAGCGATCGCGGTGGTAACTCTTGCAGGCCGTACAGGTCATGGTAGAACTGCAGTGATACGTTCCTCATGGCATAAGTGGTCTCCTCTTGGAGTTCGTACAGCCACCACCAACCAATGGCATTTGCTGTCCATGGAGAGAAGGACATTATTTTCATATATGAACTATAACGAATGGGCAACTTACCTAAATTTACCCGAGGTCGCCACCCTTAGTGGCCTCGACGAAGACACGAAGCTGGTGGCATGTGAAAGATCTCCTCATTGTTCCTGAGAATTTTATCCAGCTAAATTTTACCTAGGTTTAGCAGATCAGCAATTCTATGGATATATATAACCTTATGGGTGAAAAAAAGCATCTACTGCCTTATATCCTACATTGTGGCTTGTTGAGCTTGAAGTTATTACCCCTTGTATGTATTACATTTGGCATTTTAAAGAAATGATCTAGATTAATATCGTCCATCTTGTTACCGTATTTTAAAAGGTCTTGTTGAGATCAACTGTGTTATATCTGGTTTAAAGTGTTAGTCCTCTGGCCCTCAACAGTTCCCAATATGAACTATTTATGGGATTTACTTATGGAATGATATTTTTGTTGCATAGTTCAACTTTCTCCAAAACAAATATATGGCCTGAAGATGAGGTCTCCATGCTTAGATACAGTATGTAATTCAAATTGGGGGGGGGGGGGCGCACCAGAGACTGGTGTAGTTGAATTAATATTGACTTTTCCTTGAAGTCAAAGGTTCGTTTAATTATTCCTAAGGTCTAGTTGGATTTGTAAATGTAGCGCCCATTTGTCTAGCAACTTTCAATGACTGGTGGATCCTAAATCTTAGGTCTGTTTATTCATTAATCTGTTGCATGGTAGTGTTTTTGATATGATGGTTGTAATGTTCATTCTTCTGCCCTACATGCAACATCTTGTATTTTCAGTACTGAATAGCATTTGCCAGTCTGACCATTTGTGGAGTTCATATTAATATCTTTGCAAGGGGTCAATATTGTTTTTTTGCTTTCTACTTTACCATAGATCTTAATGTCATCAGGAAATCTGGTGATGTTTGTAACATTCTTATAGGTACACAAGGAAATCACACTAACGTGATATATTACTGAGAAAATCAATTGGAGCAATGCAGAGAATTCGAACCTTTGATCTAGGTAAGACATACTTTGCCCAGAGGCCATGACATAGGTGGACAGCTTGGGAGTACCTAGGTCATGAGTTCGAATCCTCTGCAGTGCTCCAATTGATTTTCTCATTCTCAAATGTCATTGATGTATATGATAAAAAGGGTTGGTCCCAATATGGAACCTTGTAATAAATACTCAATTCACTACATTTTTCAAATCACATTCATTTCCATTTAGGACAACTCCTTGCTTTTCTGTTTTACTCATTTTTTTATCCATTCTAGTAGTTTACCATTTATTCCATGTGCTTGCAATTTTCCTTCCTAGTCTTTCATATAATATCTTATCAACATCTTCAGAGAAGACCTTGTGTGCTGCATCTACTGATAGTCCATTATCTAAATAGCTGATTACTTTCCCCAAAAGTGAGCAGGTTAGTAACACAGGATTTATTTTTAACAAAGTCATGTGTTAATTTTACTAGATTATGCACCGAGATGATGAATATTCCCTCCCTTAGGATTCTCTCCATGCTCCTTTAGCTTTAAGAGACTCCAAGTACTGTACAGTGTTCTGCCAAGGTCTTTTTGCCTTTTTTGAAGATAGGGTGACATATTTCCAGTCTAGGAGGACTTTTCCTTGCTCCAAAGATTTTTGAACAGGAGTTTCAGTAGTAAACACAGTTCATCAGCCAGTTCCTTAACGATTTTGGATTGAATTCTGTCCGCACCTGGAGCTATAGACGACTTTAATTTGTCAATGCTTTTCCCGATTGTTTAAGACGTTGTGAGGATATTCCTTAATTCATTCTCTTCCCTTGTTTTACGCATGTGTTTGGGTATTGGTATGTTGTGTAATGCTTCTATTGTGAACACTATAGTATAATGTTCATTCATAGTGTTGAATGCCTATTCATCCTCTTTGTATCATCTTTCAAGAGTCCTACCGATTCTTTTGTCTTGTTTTACTTCCTATATACGGAAGGCATTAAAGGACTTGGGAGTTTACAGTTTACCATGACTAAGCTGGCACAACATCAGCTGTTTTGTTAATGAACTAACAAGGAGGTGTAAAAGTTTGAGTTGCTCCATCTCTGTATTTTCCATACCTTATGTCATTCAGTATAAGTGGAATATCTCTCTGTATCTGTCTTTACAGAACAATGTATATAAGTTGTATAAGTTTAGATTTAGGACAGACCAGTGTAAATACCGGTTTGGAAACAGGGATGTAGATTTATGGAACAAATTACCAGGTATCATAATAGGCATTGGGTCCCTGGACTGTTTCAAGTGTAGGTTAGACATTACATGTGAGTTTATGCCAGCTTATTTAGGCTAATAGGCCTTCTGCAGCATAATTCATTATTATACCATACCATAAAGAACTCACCAAGAGTCCTGGTGTCAGTAGCAGCAAGGAGGTTACTGAAGTCACTGAAGAAGTTACCCTTGAAGGAGATGACAGGTTCGTCGGAGGTGATAGTGACTCCGGGGGCAGTAAACATCTCCTTCACGAACGCCAACCAGTCAAACTGATAACCAAATATCAATGAAAAATATTAATTTACTCACCTCTTTTTGCAGTAAAATTTTAATTAATCGTACCACTATTTGTATATGTATATATTTAATTTATATACATTTTGATATTTATTATAATGTCTATATTCATCATTGTGAAATACTGTACATAAAAGGACAAAACTCAATCAGATCAGGAAATCAGATCAGCCAAAAGAAAATATGAAAGAAAACTTCAGAAATATGAAAGAAATATGAAAGAAAACAGCCCACACCCACCCACTGGGTGGGTGTGGGCTGCAGGACAAGTCGGTGATAGTTATATGCAACTATATAGTTCTCAACAAATGTAAATTGTTTAGCTTAGAGACTGTTGCGAGTCTCTGTTGTGAGACTGGACTCAAGACTGAGTCTTGGACTCATTATACTATAAAATACGATATATATATATATATATATATATATATATATATATATATATATATATATATATATATATATATATATATATATATATATATATGCGAACAAGCCTGAATGGTCCCCAGAACATATGCAACTGAAAACTCACACCCCAGAAGTGACTCGAACCCATACTCCCAGAAGCAACGCATCTGGTATGTACAAGACGCCTTAATCCACTTGACCATCACGACCGGACATAATGAGGTGATAGCCGAGGCTATTTGAACCACCCCACCGCCGGCACTCGGATAGTTATCTTGGGCATAGCATTTTACCAAATCACCTCATTCTTTGGGGCAACACGTGAGGAACACAAATGCGAACAAGCCTGAATGGTCCCCAGGACATATGCAACTGAAAACTCACACCCCAGAAGTGACTCGAACCCATACTCCCAGAAGCAACGCATCTGGTATGTACAAGACGCCTTAATCCACTTGACCATCACGACCGGACATAATGAGGTGATAGCCGAGGCTATTTGAACCACCCCACCGCCGGCACTCGGATAGTTATCTTGGGCATAGCATTTTACCAAATCACCTCATTCTTTGGGGCAACACGTGAGGAACACAAATGCGAACAAGCCTGAATGGTCCCCAGGACATATGCAACTGAAAACTCACACTTTGGTAATTTGGTAAAATGCTATGCCCAAGATAACTATCCGAGTGCCGGCGGTGGGGTGGTTCAAATAGCCTCGGCTATCACCTCATTATGTCCGGTCGTGATGGTCAAGTGGATTAAGGCGTCTTGTACATACCAGATGCGTTGCTTCTGGGAGTATGGGTTCGAGTCACTTCTGGGGTGTGAGTTTTCAGTTGCATATGTCCTGGGGACCATTCAGGCTTGTTCGCATTTGTGTTCCTCACGTGTTGCCCCAAAGAATGAGGTGATTTGGTAAAATGCTATGCCCAAGATAACTATCCGAGTGCCGGCGGTGGGGTGGTTCAAATAGCCTCGGCTATCACCTCATTATGTCCGGTCGTGATGGTCAAGTGGATTAAGGCGTCTTGTACATACCAGATGCGTTGCTTCTGGGAGTATGGGTTCGAGTCACTTCTGGGGTGTGAGTTTTCAGTTGCATATGTCCTGGGGACCATTCAGGCTTGTTCGCATTTGTGTTCCTCACGTGTTGCCCCAAAGAATGAGGTGATTTGGTAAAATGCTATGCCCAAGATAACTATCCGAGTGCCGGCGGTGGGGTGGTTCAAATAGCCTCGGCTATCACCTCATTATGTCCGGTCGTGATGGTCAAGTGGATTAAGGCGTCTTGTACATACCAGATGCGTTGCTTCTGGGAGTATGGGTTCGAGTCACTTCTGGGGTGTGAGTTTTCAGTTGCATATGTCCTGGGGACCATTCAGGCTTGTTCGCATTTGTGTTCCTCACGTGTTGCCCCAAAGAATGAGGTGATTTGGTAAAATGCTATGCCCAAGATAACTATCCGAGTGCCGGCGGTGGGGTGGTTCAAATAGCCTCGGCTATCACCTCATTATGTCCGGTCGTGATGGTCAAGTGGATTAAGGCGTCTTGTACATACCAGATGCGTTGCTTCTGGGAGTATGGGTTCGAGTCACTTCTGGGGTGTGAGTTTTCAGTTGCATATGTCCTGGGGACCATTCAGGCTTGTTCGCATTTGTGTTCCTCACGTGTTGCCCCAAAGAATGAGGTGATTTGGTAAAATGCTATGCCCAAGATAACTATCCGAGTGCCGGCGGTGGGGTGGTTCAAATAGCCTCGGCTATCACCTCATTATGTCCGGTCGTGATGGTCAAGTGGATTAAGGCGTCTTGTACATACCAGATGCGTTGCTTCTGGGAGTATGGGTTCGAGTCACTTTTGGGGTGTGAGTTTTCAGTTATATATATATATATATATATATATATATATATATAATAAAATATGTAACGAACTTATCATGGCTAACTTGCTTCGCTAAGTTAATTTTGGGGTTCAGTCCCTGAGCCCATTATGTGTGTCTTGTGACAGTTTCAACTACCGCCCAACGGATGGGTATGGGGTGCATAATAAAGGAACTAAACTATACAAAAAAAGAACTCATTTGCAAAGAAGTAACAAAAATATTTACAATATATTAGCACCAAGGAAAACATGCATCATATATATTATTAGAGTGGCACTGACCTCACCAGGAGTGCCAGCATCGGTGTCTGTCTGTACCCCGGTCAGGTCAGTCCTCCATATGGTGTTGGTGGTCTCGTTGACAGCCTTCAGCACCACCTGTCAAAGAACATCAGTCAAGTGCTCCACGCCCGCAAGGCACCTCATATACTTTTGAATTAAGACTTATATACGTATTACATAATCTTGACCTGTACAGAAAATAGTAACACATATAATCAAGATAATATAAACCTTAGAGAATGCAATCTCAAAGTCAACAACATCTTGGACTTGTTGCTGAATATCTTGATCAGTGACGGAGGAGCCCTTGTAGTCTCGGTAGAGCTTGGCTGCATCAGTCATGAGGCTGCTGTAAACTGTTATCAACCCTTCCACGTTGCTGGCCATCAGCGACACTCCTAGTGGCACCGTGCCTGTATCAATCTGCAACATCATTCATTATTTTGGAGATCTGAACATTGTTATGGGGGGTTCTCTTCTTTTGATAAAATATTAAATTGCTATAGAAGTATTGATCTATTGAAATTACTTTGGGAGAGAACCTTATTTGTGATTTTTGTAGATAGACTTTAAACCTGCCCGAAACCCTGTGTGCGCTAATGGCTTTACAAGAATTTAAGAACTATAAAGCCATTTTATAGCATAGCAAATAAAAGATATATGAATAATTAGACCAAAACTGGTGAAAATAAAGAGATTCATGTTAGATAACTGACATAGATGATATTGGTGAGGACGTTTTCTATGTCAAGGTCGACGCCCACAGAAACGAGAGGGAAGACTTCGAGCTGTCTAAGATTGTTGATGGCGGTGGAGAGGGTGAAGCCAGCGGGGTCCCAGTCAGCGTCCACCATGGGCCAGCCGCCCTGAGCTGCCAGCGGCGAGTCCAGAGGTGCCAAGCCTAAGCTATCCATTGTATCTGTGGGAAATGTCTTTAGATTACATTTTTGCTCTGTCTGATTACAGTCTGCTCCGCCATCGATGTTTCCCATGTCCTCGTGCATACTCTCTCCACCCGACGAGGTCCCGCTTATGTCCAACTGTCTTTAATATCGTCATTCAACGTTTCTCGTGTGGTCATTCAGCTCTTTCATGTCATTGTCTCATTACCTTGTTCAATGTCCTTGGCCTCTACCATATGCTCTTTTTTGTGTCTCTTATCCACCTCCCTGCCCCCCCTTCCCCGATTCCTTTCCTCAGGCCGGCCACCTACCCGTGTCCATGCAGGAGTCGTAGTAGGTATGGATCATATGGATGGGCTCCGGGGCGTCTGGCACGGCTGGCGTTTCCAAGATGAGATGGAGACGCTTGTCTAGCTTGTCCGCCGCCTCGTCGAACGTGCCCGTCCTGGTATGATAATAATTGCGATATAAAAGAGACCGCCAGGAACAACAAGAGAGGGAGTGGGGGACGCAGGACGGCGAGTGGAAGAAAAGGTGTTACTGGTCCACAAGATGGGTATGGGGTGCATAATAAATGAACTAAACTAACTGGTGATAATGTGACAACCGACGAGTAACGCGGGCCTCAGATTAACGCTGGTTCTGGTTACCTGGGGCCAGATTCACGAAGCAGTTACGCAAGCACTTACGAGCCTGTACATCTTTTCTCAATCTTTGGCGGCTTTGTTTACAATTATTAAACAGTTAATGAGCTCTGAAGCACCAGGAGGCTGTTTATAACAATAACAGCAGTTGATTGGGAAGTTTTCATGCTTGTAAACTGTTTAATAAATGTAACCAAAGCCGTCAAAGATTGAGGAAAGATGTACACGTTCGTAAGTGCTTGCGTAACTGCTTCGTGAATCTGGCCCCTGGTTACAGCTGCCAACCTGTAGGACGTCGCCAGGAACACGACACCAAGTCCATCTTTCTATATCATGCACAACGTGCACAAACATGCAATACAGAAGTAATAGCAACTATAAGTGTATATTATCAATATATAGCAAAACAAAAATAATTTGCAATAGCAGTTAATATTACAAGAAATATTACAAGAGGCGGGAGAAGATGGAGACAGTAACAGTGGAATATTTAGGGAAAAGGCATCAACAAGAGCTATACTCACTCGCCAGACTCCGGGATGGGATGCTTGTCGACCCAGCCACCACAAGCGAACTGGTAAAAGTTATCACACGGGTTGGTCGTCAGGTCGAGGCTCTCAGAGATGCGTGTCGCTGTCGGGTGTGGGACGGATGAACATATTATGTAACACAAACATATAGAAAAGTGGTTTACGAACAATATAGTTTAAGGTTGCCCGAGTCGGTTTCAAAATAAACCATATTATGTATGTTTTCTACAAACATCCTAGAATTTTCATATTTTCCTGCTGCTGACTTGTTTCTGGACAGTAGGCTTGCCCAAATATAGTACCACATCGACAAGACAATTAAAGGTGTTTCGCCAGTTCCATTACTATTATCACAACACAAATGGACGTTAACAATGTATAATGGCCATCACCCCTCACCAGCCACTGCACACTCTGGCGTCTCGCACACCCTCACACCACCCTTCTGTCGAGTTGTCGGCAGACGCGTCGACTCCTTCCTCTTCTTCACTGGTGATTCCACGACGGTCTTGTCCCTCGCCTCCAGCAGCTCAGGTCGCCTTGGGCCGTCGTGTTCTCGAGGTACCAGAAGCGGCGCTGGCTCCTGCTGGGGGCGAGCAGGTTCAGATATTATCCCGCTCCTTCAAATAAACAAATCAATAACAAGATTATATTAAACGTGCATGTTATTTACTTTGGATTAAATTGATACTGGCAAATCCCAGGTTGAATTGTTTTTACCATGTCGTAGTGTAGTGGTCTAGGGCGAGTGCTTGGGAGTACCAAGTGTGCAGGTTCGAATCCTCCTCATGGCTCCTATCCCTATCCCCACCAATAACCACCCCTACTACCCCCACCTTCTATGACCCCTACCTCTACCCCCGAAAATAATCACCACTACCCCATATCAGTAACCCCCTTAACCACTATGCTCTCGACGCCTACCTCTTTCGTCAAGGGCTGCATCTGTGTTACCCTGAGTGGCTTGGGTCGGTCGTGTTCCTGTGGCACCTCCAGGAGCACTGTCTCCTGAAGAAGGCATAAGAGGAGCAGGTTGGATCAGGACGCAGAACATTGGTATGATAATGATTACAACAATAGTGATAATAATATAGAGAGAATGGGAGGACTTACCTCCTGGAAGTCCGGGTGAGGTGGGTGTTGGGGCCCGGTGTACACAGGGTCCTGGACAAGTGGCTCACTCCTCCCTATGTACAGTGCCTCAGTCTTCTTGAGTGGTTCCTCCACCTGTGACACACTATAGTCAGACGTGTAGTCAAGTATGATACCATATAACTTTAAAATACTTTTGTTCTAAAAAAAAGTAGGAACCTCTATTCTCCCTTCCTTCATGCTCTTTTACATTAGCATTACTCTAAGGTAATTACGAGGAGAAAGCGCTACGCCAGTATATGACTGCACTCTTGCATGGGTTACGAGAGCTGACCAAGAACTAGTATGTTTCCATATAATCTCATAAATATTAAATTTTGGTTTACTTTACTTCCACAAATTCAGGTTGATGGCTGTTGGTGTTAGGAGTGTCGTGCTGGGCACCGGCCTGGGCGTGTGTCTCCTCCCACGACTGATGGAGACGACCCATAACAACAATATACTATTCAATACAAGTTTAGAAACCGCACATTGCTACAGGAACGAAATGCAACTCAAGCTTCCAAACTCTATAAAAGTGCAATTGTTGTTTTAAGATGAGTTTACCCAGTAAATGATTTATATTATATATACATGTATGCCCATATCTGTAAGCATATTAGTCTACCTGATGGAGGAGTATATATATATATCGTTACCTGACGGAGGGAGCTGGAGACACCCGGCCCGCCCACTCTGGGTGGGTCTACCTCATGCTGCTCCACTGAAGGAGCTTTTGGCGAGGCTGAGTTGCAGACGTGTTGGTGAAGTGTTGGTGAAGTTGCAGACGTGTTGGTGGAGTTGCAGACGTGTTGGTGAAGTTGCAGACGTGTTGGTGAAGTTGCAGACGTGTTGGTGAAGTTGCAGACGTGTTGGTGAAGTTGCAGACGTGTTATGGAAGTTAAAGAATACAAATAACATTTACAATTAATAATACAACAAATACAAATAAAATAATTGAACAAATAAAATAAGCTGTAACAAAATTATACAGGAAATATGACAAAAATGTACTAGAAAAAGTTTCTAATACAGCATAATAAACAATTTTAAACAATAAAATGTATATAGATTCTAGAGCTTGGCCTAAACCTCCAACATTCAATTAAATAATTTACACAAACCGAAAAAAAATTCCAAAATTATTTGAAGGTGGTGATGCAATTAAGTTATGAGTGACACGCACCTGTGGAGACGATGGCGAGGACGGCAGCCGAGGCGACCACAGCGACCAGCCCCACGCCAGCCACCACGCCCCACCGTCCTCTCACACGCACCCACCCACGCCTGAGGGCAGCCACATGTTATATAGCGTTTTCCTAACTCAAACAAAAGGGGATTTATTATACTACACATTGTCATTGTCTCCTAGGGAGGCAGTGGCTGTATAAGCCATGTGTACCGGCAGTAGAGAAAGAGGAGGTACCTGGGAGGCTGAGGGTCGTCGAGCGTCACGTCCACAAATCCACCACCACTCCGCTCCTGTAGGGGCAGACGGAGAGAAGAGGTTTACATATAAATTTGTATGTTCCTTGTCTTGATTTTTTTTATTGTTGCCCCCGGAGGCACCTAGTTTATTGTGTACCTCATACTCATCCTGTGAGCGGTAGCGCAAAAACATTACAGAGGGCATAAAAGGTCTTTATCAGACACCCTCTTATTTTATTACATAAACAATTTCATCTATCCTTCACATTTGTCTTACCTTGTCTTACTGTTTGTCTTACTGTCTTGTCTTCCTTGTCCTACCGTTTGTTTTTCCCGTCTTCAAAAAAATGCACAACAAAATATCTGGTGTTTATATACGAGCCACTACAGTACCTCGCCCTTGGGCTTATCACAACACTTGATCGCCCGAGAGATTACATCAAGAGACAGGAGATAAACATGGCATCTACGGTTGCATCTTCTCTCTAACATATCATTAATTTGATAAAGATGAGAAGTTAGCTAACGCTTAAAATATTTGGAAAATTGATTCCTTTGGAGGATCATTTTAACTTATTGTATTATTCACTCCAACATATAAATAGATTATATACCACTACGCCCCCTCACATTCACCGCACTTTACGGGTTTATAACATAACATTTCAATACAAAACAAATGAATACAACATATTCTAGCTCATATGAAACCGTGACAATACAACCAGTTGAAATCATGAAATAAATCAACTCTGCTACCTAAATATCAGTCGAACAGTGGCAACTCTGCCTCTAAAACCTACTGGTTGAGACTTCAGTAGATAACAGTTATCTATGTAAACTGTGTTACGGAGTCACCTGTTGCCTTGCTAACTTTGTCTCGTGACGTACACTCATATCTTAGTATGCCGTTCTTCACGAGGCTAATAGAAGGAATAATACTACGTGTATACTAGTTAAAATACAATTAGAAGGATGAACGACCTTCCTGCCGTGTTCTTTGTTAACCCGTCATTAATACTTGCATCGTTGTGCACACATCTAGACATCAAGGAAGTCAGGTTAAGTTTAGTGAATGTTTCAGTCCAAGGAGATTGAGGAAGACCAGAAATAACTAATGCCAAAATGGAGGATACTGTGGAAAAATGTTAGTTATTACATTTAAATGATGTGACGTAATGCTCCATCTATTTTTGTCAAACACCAGCTTATTTGAGAGAAAATATTCGCTTGCTTCCATCCTTCGTGAATGTCTTGGCAACATTAAGATACTATAATTTACTTGGCTTTATTTATGAAATTGTAAATTACTTGTTTGGGTACCTTTACCGTACCTTTACATAACTTACGTTCTGTATTAAAATTATAGTTTAAATATTTAGTTTATTATATATTGACTTTATTTACCACTGTACGCGACGTGAAAATGGTCCAGAAAGGACCGAAACATCGTTATTTTCCCTATTTTCAGATGTTCGGTTTGGGTGTTTAATGAGTAGCCACGTTATTGTGATTATTGCCTGCATATACACAAATATTCAATATGACGTCGAGCTCAAATTCAAGGTTTAGCATATTGTTACATCTCCATGGTGTGGATTTAGCCTTTGTTCATTGTCAGCGGTCTAGAGGGAGTTGTCGTCTTTCAAGGCGCCAGAGTACAGAGTACAAATAGCAAGGCTTCATTAAAGATTACACAGTTTTACACATAACCGGGCCGTCATAGATATTGAAACACATGATGAATACAACAAAAAGAGGAAACTAACAGGAAAAATGGGGTGGTAGTCGAGGCGTCGGGGGAACCATGGGGTGGTAATAGAGGCGTCGGGGGAACCATGGGGGGGGGTGGTAGAGGCATCGGGGGAACCATGGGGGGGGGGTGGTAGAGGCATCGGGGGAACCATGGGGTGGTAGTCGAGGCGTCGGGGGAACCATGGGGTGGTAGTAGAGGCGTCGGGGGAACCATAGGGTGGTAGTCGAGGCGTCGGGGGAACCATGGGGTGGTAATTGAGGCGTCGGGGGAACCATAGGGTGGTAATAGAGGCGTCGAGGGAACCATAGGGTGGTAGTCGAGGCGTCGGGGAACCATGGAGGTGGTAGTTGAGGCGTCGAGGGAAATATGGGGGTGGTAGTTGAGGCGTCGAGGGAAATATGGGGGGTGGTAGTTGAGTATTATGGAAACGTAACACCTTAAAAAAAAATTGGAACGCGAGAAAAGTCTAGGAGTTACGTCTAGCAGTATTAATGATCGATGTAAGGCAAGTAGGCTACATCATAATATCAACCAACAAACTCGCATTCAAGTTAAAAAAATATCTACTATATTATATTTAAAAAAATCGTCGAACCAAACACACGTTCAGATAGATAATGTCATTATTAATATAAAAAATATGGGAAAGTTCCTTGGCTTATACACAGACATGAGACTTAACTTCACTACACACATACAGCACATAACCGATAGCTAAAGTCTCTAAAACTGTTGGTCATTTCTTTTTAAAGACAGAGCGGTCTCCTCTGTTCTAATGTTCTAGTTTAGTAACTACAAATTTCGAAAACAATATCCAGAGACCTTAGACAGAAATAAATTGACATTAGAAAATGTCATAACTGACCTGAATCTCTATGTGTTCCCTGAGCGACGTCATCACTAAGAATGGTGACCATTTGAGCTGTGGAACAGTGGCCACTCCTCACACACACCGCCGCCTATCTCTTCTATCTCCTGTACCAAGTCGAGTTTTTTTATTCTCAAATTGATAATTTCACCGATGTGGGACGTTAATGTAGAACACTACGTTAACTCCTTTATTTTCGTGGGGGTACCAATACACAGTATTAACATAGGTAAGATTTTATTTCGCTAAATTTGGTTTGGTTTGGCTAGATACGTAAGATAGCCTAGGTTAGCCTTATTAGGCTTGGTTAGGTTATATTAGATTAACTACTAGATTATATCTAGTAGTTCAGAATCTACATTAGTACAGAGCGTGGACTGGCACCCACTAGAAGTCCCGTAGCTTCTAGCCTAGTATGAAGGATAACTTGTAACGTTAGATAAATAAATAAGTCCACTACGGGCTTACTCAAAAGCTACGTGGAACTTTTGTTCCAAGTAAATGAATCTAAAACAACAAACAATAAATAAATAAATATATAAATATGTCTAAAAAGCAAATGTTTAAATAAGTGACCATCCAGATGGTGCCCGTGGATAAAAAAGTTATGTAAATACCCAGAGAAGATAACTCCGTAGATAACAGCTTCAAGTATATAACTAAAAAGATAATGGTTTAGATTTATAGGTTTTATTTATATGCACTGGGGCCTCAATTATCAATAAATGTGCCTGATAAACTTCGGTTTTTACGGCAAACACCCAGACGGAAACACTAAAAGAATACAATAATAGACTACATAAGGTTCTTTCAAAAGGTATAAGCATACCTGAAGTAAGTAGAGAAGTATCTAAGACTAAGTAATAATGCACTTGTTGAGCTCAAGCAGTTCATAACAAAACCTTTATCAAGCTTAACGTAAAAAATCAAGTTGCATTCACCAAATCTAGAGGAAGCTGGGAGTCAGAAGCAATAGTAATCAGTACGAGTCAAAAGTCACCTGTTGGAGGTTATCTGACGAGGCGATAACATCAGGGAAACCCATCAGGTGCATCAGAAGCCATCTTGCCAATGCAGGCTCCATGATCATCACTATCCCTCCGATTTGATGAAATAATTTATGGAGGGCGTCTCTATGATCGCTAATGACCGAGACGCAATAACATAGCACAATAAGGGTGAACACTAAAATACTTTTGCTGTACTGCATCAATGAAATATATTACCTTTAATCTTGGGCTACTAACATATAAAACGTGATTAAAGTGAAAACAGTAGAATACAAAAATATATATTGTATCCTATGCAGGCGATGAGTCACAAAAACGTGGCTAAAGTATGTTGATCAGACCACACACTAGAAGGTGAAGGGACGACGACGTTTCGGTCCGTCCTGGACCATCATCAAGTCGATTGACTTAATAATGGTCCAGGACGGACTGAAACGTCGTCATTTCTAATGACTTACTGTAAATATATAGCTCTTGAAATAGAACATTCTCTGTAACTAGCTGACATTGTAACTATAAGGTGTAAAGGATAGATGAAATTGTTTATGTAATAATCTAAGATGAGGTCTGATAAAAGACCTTGTGCGCCCTCTGTAATGCTTTTGCGCTACCGCTCACAGGACGAGTATGGGGTGCACAATATACTAGCCGCCTCTGGCGATAACAATCAATCAAGTCGTCATTCCTTCAATCTCTATAGTGTGTGGTTTAGTCAACATTTTTGGAAAGTTTGTGTGATGAGAGGAAAACTTCAGGCATGGTAAGACAGTGATTACCGTCGCCTCATTAACACGTGAAGGAGGGGCAGTAAAAATTAAGATGTCAACACAGTCGAGTGGCGAGTAGAAAAGAAAACCTGATAGAAATCATCGAGGAAAAGATTTTAATCAGATTGAGCTTGATGCCATGTGGGAAGTTCTGCACGCAAGGGGCAATGTGTGACTACTGACTATTGCGTATTTTGTAATGATACTCTATTAGTAACTCCTTGAGTGTTTATCACAACTGTAAAGTGTTACGTTGAATGTTTCTATTAGCAGCTTCCTCATTATGTCTCGCTGTTCAGTCCTTGTTTGGATTATATTGTACAGTCTCTTGTCTTCATCTATCACATAACACACATTATTTAACAACCCAATTACTTTATTACTTATAGACCATCCTCTTACATTACCCACCAGACCGGGACCCGGATTCACGAAGCACTTACGAACCTGTACATATTTTCTCATCCTTTGACGGCTTTGTTTACAATTATTAAACAGTTAATGAGCTCCGAAGCACCAGGAGGCTGTTTATATCAATAACAACAGTTGATTGGGAAGTTTTCTTGCTTGTAAACTGTTTAATAAATGTAACCAAAGCCGTCAAAGATTGAGGAAAGATGTACACGTTCGTAAGTACTTGCGTAAATGCTTCGTGAATCCGGGTTCGGAGCACTGAGAGGCGGGACAAACATGCCGCATTCACACTCCCAGCAAAACACGTGACACTCAAACTTACTTGTGAACATTAGGACAAGAAAACGGCCATCGTGCTTCATCAGACTTTTGTTATTGGTAGAACTGTTATTATTGCTAGAGTTTTTATTGTCAGTGAATGTTGTACTCTATAAATGGTTTCATAACTGTTTATTTTGTGATGCGCGTGCGACCTGGCCAGGATTCCCACACTCTTTTAAAGCCTCTAATTCCGGCTACTTCCGTTTTCTCATGTCCTTGTTTACAATTTTGGCTTCTGATTGTTTTTTTTTGTTTCCCAGCGTGGCCTCTTATTTTTCTTCCTCAGTCCCTGGGGCTCCCTGCTGACCTCTGTCCCTGGGGGGGGGGCTCCCTGCTGACCTCAGTCCCTGGGGGGCCTCCCTGCTGACCTCAGTCCCTGGGGGGGGGCTCCCTGCTGACCTCTGTCCCTGGGGGGGGGCTCCCTGCTGACCTCTGTCCCTGGGGGGGGGGCTCCCTGCTGACCTCAGTCCCTGGGGGGCCTCCCTGCTGACCTCAGTCCCTGGGGGGCCTCCCTGCTGACCTCAGTCCCTGGGGGGCCTCCCTGCTGACCTCAGTCCCTGGGGGGCCTCCCTGCTGACCTCAGTCCCTGGGGGGCCTCCCTGCTGACCTCAGTCCCTGGGGGGCCTCCCTGCTGACCTCAGTCCCTGGGGGGCCTCCCTGCTGACCTCAGTCCCTGGGGGGCCTCCCTGCTGACCTCAGTCCCTGGGGGGCCTCCCTGCTGACCTCAGTCCCTGGGGGGCCTCCCTGCTGACCTCAGTCCCTGGGGGGCCTCCCTGCTGACCTCAGTCCCTGGGGGGCCTCCCTGCTGACCTCAGTCCCTGGGGGGCCTCCCTGCTGACCTCAGTCCCTGGGGGGCCTCCCTGCTGACCTCAGTCCCTGGGGGGCCTCCCTGCTGACCTCAGTCCCTGGGGGGCCTCCCTGCTGACCTCAGTCCCTGGGGGGCCTCCCTGCTGACCTCAGTCCCTGGGCGGCCTCCCTGCTGACCTCAGTCCCTGGGGGGCCTCCCTGCTGACCTCAGTCCCTGGGGGGCCTCCCTGCTGACCTCCGAATGGTACCTCTCCAAGATTCGGCAGAAGGAGACAGCGAGGGGATCGTGCACTCTTGACCTCAGCACACCCAGGCACCTGTAACCTGCCAGGGAGGTGCAGTAGCAGAAGGCAGGGGGGTAGGAGTAGGCAGGGAGGAGGAGGAGAAGGCAGGGGGGAGGAGGAGAAGGCATGGGGGAGGAGGAGAAGGCAGGGGGGAGGAGGAGAAGGCAGGGGGGGGGGAGGAGGAGAAGGCAGGGGGGAGGATAAAGAGTGGAGGGGGCGAGAAAAAAATGAATAATTAGTCAACCAAAAATAAAAATGAAACGGTTAACAAGTAAATAAAAAAGAAAATATATGAGACAGTCAGCAAAGCACAGATTCTTAATGTAGAATTCCGTCTTGAGTGATAACGAGTCTTTTGGCGGCAAAACTGCCCCGCGGACCTGAACAATTACTGTACAAAATATATATAATATATGTGTTGACAAGCTTGTAGATATTGTTCTTGTTTAGAGATAATGGTAATATTCGCCTGTCTCATCTATCAAATAGTAGCAACGGATACATCTCTGTCGGTCTAAACAGTCAACACCTGTCTGTCGGCCTAAACAGTCAACACCTGTCTGTCGGCCTAAACGAGGCACACACATGTATATATAGGTCTAAACACTGCCTGTACCTCTTTCACTTGCGGTGACATGGGGCGCCGTCATCCTGAGGCAGGTGTTGTGAAGGTCAGGGGAGCCCAGGTAAGGGAGGGAGGCGAGGGGCAGGAGCCCTTGCCCGAGGAGGCTGCAGGAGCCGCCCCCAGCTGCTGCTGCCCCTCCTCCTCCTGCTCCGCCCCGCGGCGGCGGCGCCACCATCAGGAGCACCTCCAGCCACCCCGCGCTCTCCTTCCCTATCACACCTGTCGGGCTGACAAACCTACGTTAGTTTTCCTCCGTCAACACTCCAACACATATAAATCGCCTCCTGTAACATAAAATACACATTTACTTCGCCACCTCCAGCACAGGAAGCCTCTACATCGCCACCTCCAGCACAGGAAGCCTCTACATCGCCACCTCCAGCACAGGAAGCCTCTACATCACCACCTCCAGCACAGGAAGCCTCTACATCACCACCTCCAGCACAGGAAGCCTCTACATCACCACCTCCAGCACAGGAAGCCTCTACATCACCACCTCCAGCACAGGAAGCCTCTACATCACCACCTCCAGCACAGGAAGCCTCTACATCACCACCTCCAGCACAGGAAGCCTCTACATCATCACCTCCAGCACAGGAAGCCTCTACATCACCACCTCCAGCACAGGAAGCCTCTACATCACCACCTCCAGCACAGGAAGCCTCTACATCACCACCTCCAGCACAGGAAGCCTCTACATCACCACCTCCAGCACAGGAAGCCTCTACATCACCACCTCCAGCACAGGAAGCCTCTACATCACCACCTCCAGCACAGGAAGCCTCTACATCACCACCTCCAGCACAGGAAGCCTCTACATCACCACCTCCAGCACAGGAAGCCTCTACATCACCACCTCCAGCACAGGAAGCCTCTACATCACCACCTCCAGCACAGGAAGCCTCTACATCACCACCTCCAGCACAGGAAGCCTCTACATCACCACCTCCAGCACAGGAAGCCTCTACATCACCACCTCCAGCACAGGAAGCCTCTACATCACCACCTCCAGCACAGGAAGCCTCTACATCACCACCTCCAGCACAGGAAGCCTCTACATCACCACCTCCAGCACAGGAAGCCTCTACATCACCACCTCCAGCACAGGAAGCCTCTACATCACCACCTCCAGCACAGGAAGCCTCTACATCACCACCTCCAGCACAGGAAGCCTCTACATCACCACCTCCAGCACAGGAAGCCTCTACATCACCACCTCCAGCACAGGAAGCCTCTACATCACCACCTCCAGCACAGGAAGCCTCTACATCACCACCTCCAGCACAGGAAGCCTCTACATCACCACCTCCAGCACAGGAAGCCTCTACATCACCACCTCCAGCACAGGAAGCCTCTACATCACCACCTCCAGCACAGGAAGCCTCTACATCACCACCTCCAGCACAGGAAGCCTCTACATCACCACCTCCAGCACAGGAAGCCTCTACATCACCACCTCCAGCACAGGAAGCATCTACATCACCACCTCCAGCACAGGAAGCCTCTACATCACCACCTCCAGCACAGGAAGCCTCTACATCACCACCTCCAGCACAGGAAGCATCTACATCACCACCTCCAGCACAGGAAGCATCTACATCACCACCTCCAGCACAGGAAGCATCTACATCACCACCTCCAGCACAGGAAGCATCTACATCACCACCTCCAGCACAGGAAGCATCTACATCACCACCTCCAGCACAGGAAGCCTCTACATCACCACCTCCAACATACAAACACCTACAGGGAATATTTACGGGTCGTAACTCACAACTCGAAGGTGTCGTAGAAGGAGGCTGGTCGCGCCTTTGCGGTTGTACAGACGACAGCGTTGGGGAACATGTGGCGAGGTACGACCTGAGCCACCACGTAGTACCGGGGCTGGCACGACTTCCTGCTCGAGGCCATGGAGGACGACTCGTTACCCTCGACCATATCCCTCGCCTCCAGCACCCGTACTTTCAGACGCCCCGGCTCACTGTAGAAGGTCTGAACACATTGTTTGGTGTGTGTGTGTGTGTGTGTTACTTTGTCAATGACTTCCCACTTGTCATAAATTACAAATAATAATAATAATAATAATAATAAATGTTGCTGCAACTATCAATTATTAACGAAAAGTAAATTTTTGTTTGTATTTAATCTGAACACATATGTCCAATGTTTTTCATGGAAAACTATATATTATTTGTTTTTAAAGAAGCGAGAGTTGGGTGTAGTGGGGGATGAATATTTACCCTGAGGAGGAGGTGGGCCACGGTGGGCCGGCGGTGGTCCAGCAGGTGGGCGTAGTGGGCCTCGTAGTACTGGATGATGAGCGCCTGGGTGCGCACTCGCTGCTCCTCCGCCTCCTCCAGCAGGGACCTGTACCCTGAAGAACATTAACCAAACATGGGAGTCGATGTTTACACAAGTGCGCGCCATCCTCACCAACATATACCATTGACACACAGCTGTTGTAGGAGGGGAACACAGGTGTTGAGGGATGGATACAGAGATGGAGGGGGGGTGTGGCTTACCTGGGGTGGAGGCGGAGGATGGGTGCAGGTGGCCTGGAGACGTCAACAAGAGGAAGGAAGACCGGATACTGCGGTAGACACCTTCCCAGTACTCGTCAGCTGCCCTCTGTGTATCCCCGCCACCACAACACCCGCAATTAATAAACAGCAATAAATATAATAGATACGATATAGAGAAAATTAGGTCGGGAGTACATTAGACAACCGATGGTTAGAAAGGCGGGGTCCAAGACCTAACAGCTTGACCATAAAGGCGCAATTCAGAAGTGAACACGTACAGCTTGGACCAAAGAGCCAGAGCTCAGCCCCCGCAAGCACAACTAGGCGAGTACAGCCTCACCTGTGGCCTGGTGTTGACGCTGACCATGAAGGTGGCGACTACCGCGTCCCACAGTCGCTGGAGGAGGCGCTGCTGGAGGGTCGAGGGAAGGTGTTGGAGGCGGAGGAGAGCGAGTGTTGGGGTGATCACGTGATCCAGGAGGGCTTCCTCTTTCCCTGCCTCGCACGCTGCCTCTACTGCCTCTCTCAGCCTCGACTTGACCTGCGCACCACACCACCAAGCGACGGATTATTCTTTATCGCTCAGTAAATGACATTATATTCAGCACCTAAAATTTAACAATCGGACAACCAACCCGTTCTCGCAAATTCGTAAAGTCAATATTGACTTATTAACTACGTGCATAGGTGATATACTAAACATAATAGATACCCCTAAAAAGATTCATAGAAAACACCGACCTTACCTAACCTTGTTAGTATCTTAAGATAAGCATCTTATTGCTTCGTAATTACAATTATTACAACACATTTCTTGACCGCCACGTGTCCCAGCTGGCACGTACTCCCCCCCTAGTTAAGTATCTAGGACACTTGGGACACGTGTGGGACACTTGAGACACCTAGCTGGGTATCTAGGACACGGACACGTGTCCCAGCCGGCACGTATCGGAAACATCACTGGAGCAATATGCCAGTCCATGCTGACCTGACAGACAGCGGTGTCTATGGTGCGGTCGAGCATGAAGTCAATGTTGTGGGCGACGCTGGTAGTGAGATTGGTGACGGAGTCCTGAACCTGGCTGGCGGCGGCAGTTCTTCCCCGAGCCACCAGCCGCCCCACAGCCACCTCCACGCCCAGGGCTCCTGCCAGCCCCATCACCGTCTGCAGGGCGCCCCACATACTACCCACACGCCCTATAAACTGTGGGCGTGGGCAAGGCAGGGGAGAGAGAGAGAGACAGGTGTGTGTCATAATTGAAGTTTATCATATTTGCACCAACACTGATATTGTAACAGTTAGTATTGTTAGTTAGTATATTGCAGACCCCATACCTATCCTGTGAGCTGTGGCGACAGTGTTCCGGGCATACGATGGGCTCAAGAGCTGAAACCCAGTGATCTATGAGCTACGTAATATACCTTTGGAGTCAACGGTATATTTATACCTACATTGTATTTAGCCTCAAATTTGTGATAGTTACACTTGTAGCAAATATGCTCATCTCTGAAATTGAGAATGTGCTTTCCGTAGAGTTTGCATTTTTCTGTAATATTAACTATCAAATGAGAGAGAGAGACAGATGCACTGACTTTTATAGATAGATATATTTAATATAGAACAATGTTAATTAAACATTGTTTCAAGTCAATGACTTAAGGCTTAAGTACTAGAAACATTGAGAAGTTACCTCCAGGTCAAAACACGGCGTGGGTGTGGGCGGTGGTGGAGGGTGGGTGGCGACGTGGGTGGTGGCGGGTGGGGGGAGTGTGGCCAGCCCCTGGCAGCAGACGACGGCCAGGGAGCACAAGTTCTCCAGCACCAGCACCAGCAGCGCTCCGCTCGTCTCCTCATCCGGCCACTCCAACGCTTCCCACCACGCCCTCACCTGCAGCACCCACACACTCTCTCAACATCTTATTACAAAAGCAAGTTAATAAACTAGTGCATAAACACAGTTTCCTCACACTGCGACACCCGGGCAACAAGTAAAGAACACGAACATAATTACCTCAGCAAACACACTCAGCAGTTCCTGGAAGGAAGATTTGTAGGTGGGGGCGGACGGGGCAGCTGAGGTCGGGGGCAGCATAGACGGAGGAACACTGGGTGAAGGTCCAGGAACAGCAACAGTAGCGGCACAAGTAAGAAGATAAGTAGCAGATAATGTAGAACTAATGGACTCGGGAACAGTGGAAGAAAATTTAGGATCAACTGAGGGGCAGTCGGAAACAGTCGAATGGGATACAGGAACGGGTGATGAGGACACGGGAGCGGGCGATGAGGACACGGGAGCGGGCGATAAGGACACGGGAGCGGGCGATAAGGACACGGGAGCGGGCGTCAAGGACACGGGAGCGGGCGACAAGGACACGGGAACAGTAGAAGGATTAGGAAGACGATCCAGAAGCAGGTGGCGCTGAAGGCGTGCGAGTGTGTGGTGGTGGATGCGGTTGAGCCAGCTGGCTACACTACCCAGAAACCAGCTGGGAAATCCCTCGACGTCACCCCTCTCACCATCTGCCGCAGAGTCCCTTCCTCCAGCCTCCTGGACTACCCTGCGTGGTCAACAACGGTACTTTTTAGTGAGAGCCGAGCGGCATGAGCGGCCTCCCTCACCCTCTCCGCATCCATCACTCCTCCATGCATGTAAGCCATATAACCAGAACTACCGAGACCGCTATAAGGGCAACTGACGTGTGGAGGCGAGCCAGCTCCCTGTACAGTGACCAGAGCGGGGAGCCCACAGAGAAGTCCTCCAACACCTCGCGTCCATCTAGAAAAGAAGCGGGGATTACTAGCGTTATTTCTTATCGGTCTGGTTGTAATAATAATGATCAAAGTATTAGCAGTGGTGGTAGGGGTAGTGGTAATAAAAGCGGTAGTAGAAGGCTAGTAGTAGTAGTAGTAATCCAAGAGGGTAAGTAGCAAGGTAAAAGTAATAGAAGCAGAAGTAAGAGGTGTAGTGTGGATAGCAGCAGTAGAGGTGAATGTATATACTTCATAATAATACACTTATTATCATTATTACACATTTATTCGAGGAATGTGAGTTAGAACCTGTGCCGTGTAGAGTCGTGGACTTGGGCGTGGGCGTAGAGGCCGGCGTGGGTGTAGAGAGCGCAGGGTAGGTGGGGCTGAGGAGTGGTACTATGATCTTGGCTAGATGTCTGCTGAACTCTCGGTAGCTGATGGTGGTGTAGGTAATGAACATCTCCCTGTGGCGGAGACTATGTTAACAGCTGTGGAAGGTGTAGGAGACCAGTTTCTCATCTTACATCTATTCTCAAGCTATGCCAAGGCCCCACCCATAGGGGGGGGGGGGGCATTATATCACCTTTTGTGTATGGTGCAACAAAGACTATGTTTTTAAACAAAAGTATCATACACTTTGATTTGTGCATATTTTTTTTTTTTTTAATTTTGCCTCGAGGGGCGAGTTTATTGGGCAGCGCCACTCATCTTGTGAGTGGACATACCGCCATAGCAGCATGTACAACACTCCCCAATAGGAAGAAAACCCGCTGGGTTGTTCATCTTTAAAAAGGCCTTTTATAATGTTGATAATTATTTGTACAGTGTATTTACAGTAGGCTACAGGGCGAGACACCAAACCCCTGCTCGGGCTTCCCTCGTCCAAGCTACGCCCGACAGCAAAGATGTAATCATCACTTTTAATGCACTATGTATTCAAACTCGGTATCTTCTAAAATATAAATAAACGAGGTTTTGTATTAGAATTTTGCGTATGATTTAGCTTAGGTGTTTAGCTTCTGTTGGCGATAATATATTTGTAGTACGTGGGCGAAGCATTTACATAATTGCTATTCGAACAGATGTCGTCAGCGAAGCACTGTTCGAGAAATGTCCGAATGTCATCAGTTTTAAGTCATGTGTAAAGTATTTTTCATTCATAAACAGAGGATTTGGCGACTGCATGGAATGAACATTTGGCCTTTGTTGATAAGGACAGACTGCTAAAATTTAATACAATCACATAAGTCACGACTATAGGGAACATTTTATTTTACTAAATGTGCTTTTATAAAATTTTAAGCTTCGTATATCTGCCAAAAATGCAGTTCCCTTTAACATTTGCAGACCTAAGATGACTTACCGATGCTAACAACAAAAACTAAATAATCTTATAAAATTAAATCCTAAATCCAATTATTTAGAATTTTTCTGTTCTTAAACCTAATCCTGACCACTAAATTATCTTTTTATTATATTAATGTTGCCTTCGAGAACACATAACTAACTTCTTGTTGAAAATTATATTTACGATTTGAAGACATGATCGTAGTTGTGTGCGTCTTGTTTTATAGTAGAGTGAGCCTCGCGTGTTAGGCTCATGAGGCTGTGTAGGCGCCCCTCCGCCTGCCCCTGCCAGCTCCCCAATACTTCGCCCCACCTGGAATAATACGTTTGTTTACTCGTCTTAAAAATCAAACGAAACCACAACAAATCAAATCAATTACCGGAAGCGTTTCCCCACTATCATACGAGTCCGGATTAGCAGGAACTTCGTGTTATATATGAATATCTTACAATCACGTAAACGAATATGAAGGCACACAGTCAATTCAAGTACTATTTAATAGTAGAAAAGGAGATACATAAACTATGTAGGACCAGGACAAGCAGACACAGACAAAAAGAGCCAAAACTCAGCCCCCGCAAGCACAATTAGATGAATACGTGCCAGACAGCCACGCAGACATGAGACAACCCGGCGAAGAGCCATACCAGAGGGTGGCGTGTCTGGTGAGAGCGGCGTAGACGTCATCGTGGATGACTGGCTGTCCCGTCTGGTCCAGGAGGTGTCTGGTGCCCGGGTCCTCCTCCAGCCTCCGCAGCGTCCTGTAACCAAGGTCAGCCGACTTTTAGATCTTACTGCTGACCGACTTCAGTTAGGCGAAACATATGTACGTTTACACCACCTCCTGCTGTGCATTTGGTCAATAATTTACACCACCTGTTGACGTGGATTTGACCAATCGTTTGCACCACCTGCTGACAGGAATGCGACCAAGAATCGCCACGCACCTGAGTGTGTAAGTGAGCTGGGGTCGCCAGTGGCGTCCTGGGGGAAAAGCCTGGTGAAGTGACCTGAGTCTCTTGAGTTGAGAGTAGACGAAGATCGTGAGAGAGTGTAACAGGTGGTCGACATCCTCTTGCGGGTACTTGCCTCTCGCCATCGCGGACTGAACCGTCTCCAGCTGGTGGTAGATCCATCTGGCGTCCACGGTGGCTAGGCGACTGCCAACTAGCCACCACACCAGCTGTTGAACATCATCAGCCAGGCAGAGTTTGATTCCCAGCTGGTTCAGATCCTCAGTGGCTCGTTGGGACAG